AGTGCCCGTCAAAGAAAGAGACGGAGACGGACTGGGTGTTATCATTCTCCAGGACTTTTTAGCCCAAGCTATGTCTAGTTGCCTTCGAAATATCACGTATATCGATGACATTGGTAGTCAACATCGTGGGGCCTTCGCCTAAGCGTACGTCCGATAACGTGGGGCGTATTTCAGCCCAGCCTGTCTTGTCTTGTGAACGACGCACCAGCCACACTTGGCTTCCTGGTTGGCGATAGGCAAGGCAGCGGCATGTCCATCCTACTGCTAATATGTCCATCCCATCTCGCAGTCGACGAATGCGCCACACAAAGCAGATACACGAGTGCCGCTCCCAGGTCGTGTACTTGAAGAACCGAACGATATCCCCGGCCACACTCGTATCTTTCTTTACACACCTTCCTGGTATGATATCGGCATGTCCGATCGTAATTGAGAATTCGACGCACAAGACGGCCACAACCTCAGATCCACGAGTACCTTCCTCCCAGCGCGGCGCTCCAATATGAACTCGTCGGTGGCGTGAAGAATGGCAAACGGTACATACGTCGCTCGCATCCTCCAATTGTACTAAAGCATTTCTTACATAGCTTCCTTTCATAATCTCCTTCATAAGACGACGTCAACGCTGCTACCCATGCGAAGCCTCTTCTCCCGAAAATACACGAACTCAGGAGCAGGCCGCGCGCATTTTGGAGGAGAAGGTGCTGCACTACCGGGAGTTTGAACAAGGTCAGTTCTGACTACTTTGCTCAGATTTCTTGTAGTATCAAATCGCTACTATGACTGATCAGGAGTCGTCGTACAGAACGCCTCACCATTATTCGAACATCTTTAGCGACAACGTGCGGCGGTTGGAGGTCAGTCGGACATTTTGGGTATGCCCTGAACAGAAAGTTGCCCAAAACAGGTGGGTGGTTTTGGATCGAACCTTACGCTTTCTATTCGGCGATTTTCACCCTCGTCCAACACTCAATGCATTCAATCAACTCTCGTCGGACAAGTCCTCCAATTCTTCTGTCCTCAATCTATGAGTTTCTTGGGAACGGTACCCGAACGACGGGCAGTGTGCGCTCACGTAGACTGTCGACATTCTTAGGCCCATGGTATGTCCAGTAACATTGCCTTCACATATTTCAGCTCAGCCTGCCTTGTGCAGGACGCACCGAACAATAGTTCCTACGTACCTTTCTCGTCGACGGCGTGTCCGATTCTGAAATCTGGTGATCGCGAATTCGACGCATAAGACGGCGGACCAATAAAGCAGATCCACGAGTGCCTCTCCCAGGTCATGTACGCGCGGCGCTCCAATATGAAACCCGGGGTGGCGTGAAGAAATCCTCCTCCAATTTTGCACAACTAAAGCATCCTTTTTGATCTCCGCTCGCGCGCATTATTTTTTGGAGTAAGAAGAAGATGAAGTACCACCATTTATCCGAACACCTGGGTGGGGTTTTTTTTTGGATCGAAACCCTTGCGCTCGTCCAACAATTTTTTCTTGGGAACGGATGTAGGCCTCCACCCCTCACAAACGAGTACCTTTTCCCCAGACGCGGCTGAGCCTTCCTTTTATGGCAGAAGGGAGAGGCTCGGAACGGGACATTTTTTTTTCTCTTTCAGGTGGGGTTTTTGGATTCCACTCTGATTTTCTTCTGAATCCGCGGCGTCTCTCGCAACAGGGTATGGTGTACGAGGTCGAGCGGTGCCGGTTTTTCGTCTTGATGGATGGAACCCGTTGGCCCTTTCCTTAGGACCAAGTTGAAATTCGGTTGACGCTCCGAGATGAAGTTGTCCAAGGAGAAGGTCAGGTTCGTCGTGACTTCAATACGCTTCCTAGGCTGTTTTTCTCCACTTCACCGGCAAAGCTACGCGTCAAATGGAAGAAAAGGTATGCATCTTCCACTTACACGGGAGTAATCCGAACGCCCTCCTCCTCTTCTAGCAGGCGGGTAACGGTAGTCGTAGATTGTCCATCTCTATAATAAATACACTGTCCAATCCTATCTCCTCACATACGTCGCATCAATCTGCTCTACCCAAGGCAACGACAACATAATCTTCCTCCTATAATGAACGCCCTCTTCCGCCTGACACGGATTCGCCTCTAAATAAACCGTCTTGAGCTTCTTGAGCACCTCCATCTTCACAAGCACCTCCCCCAGCGCCCCCAGCTTATTCCCATTAACCCAAAACTCTTCGAGCGTCTCGCCCAGATGCGCTATACCCTCGATCTTCTCTATAAAGTTGTTTCCCACATCCAGCGTGTTGAGCTTGAGGCAGTGCTCTAGGCCCTCGAGCTTTTGTACGCCATTGTGGCTTAGATAGAGCTCCTCGACGCTGGGCGGGATGCCCTCGATCTTTGTGATGCGGTTAGATTGGAGCGAGAGGATGCGCAGGCGGGGGAGGGAGATGGTGGATAAGGCGTTTAATGATGTGAGCTTGTTCTTGCCGAGCCAGAGCTCTTCGAGCGCTGGGAGATCTGGGAGGCCGGTGAGCTCGCGGATGCGATTCCCGCCTAGCTCTAGGCTTCGGAGGTGCTGACATGCGTCGCCTGCTAGGTGGATCTGGGATATCTTGTTCTGGACAAAGTACACGACCTCGAGGGTAGGGGGGAGCGGGGAGGGGATGGACTTGAGTAGATTGAATGAGAGATCGAGGATTTTGAGGTTTGAGAGGTGGGGGGAGGAGAGGGATAGAGAGTCGTTTTTGAGCTTGTTGTCGTAGCAATCGAGCTCTTGGAGGGTGCCGGAGGCGGGGAAGAGATCGGATGGGATGGATGTGAGTTGGTTTTGGCGGACGCAGAGGCGTGTGAGGGAGTGGAAGCGGGAGAGGGAGGGAGGGAGCGCGTTTAGGCGGCAGTGGACGAGGTCGATGTCGGTGGTGGAGTCATCCAAATCCAATAGCGGGTCTTGGTCGACGATTCCCTCGTCTGGGTCATCGGGTTCTGGGGATGATGGGGGAGGAGAAGGGGTGGGCGGTGGGGCGGGGAGCTCGACGCGTGCTGATTTGACCATGATGGTTGGGTGGTAAAAGATGGATGATGACTCAGCAATAAATTACAATATAGATTGTGATCATGGATCGTGCACTGCTTGTAGATAGCTCTCTGGTACCAACGCATGTCCGCCTTGACGTTCGACGACTGCCCATCCGACACCGCCACCCCGCCCCACCACAACCACCTCTTCGTCTTCCGCCAACGACATTTCTGACGCGCTCTCTGCTTGAAAGGGGTACAGCGCGCGGTATCGACCTGGTGGGAGAGCGCCTTCCTCTTCCTCTTCGTCCTCCTCCTCATCGTCCTCATCATCATCTGAGTATGCAAAATTCCTATCAAAGTCGCCCTGAGGAGGCACACTCCCTGTTGCGCCAGCGTGAAATGTCCAGCTGAGGCGATTAATGCCCCATTTAAAAGTATCATCTTCCTCTGTTTCCTCTTCCTCCTCTTCATCATCAGATGCGTTAGGTGGGAACGGCGGGCAGAACAAGGGTGAAGAGGTCGGGTACGCGTAGTCGCGGATGAGTATGCGTGAGCATGACGGGGAGGGTGATGGGGCGGCAGAGCGGGACGTGCGGCGGGAAGTGGCGGGTGAAGGTGGTGCGGGGCGGTGTGTGGAGAGAGTGGAGGATGCCGAGTCGTGTTTGGGTTTGAGGGTGAGGGTCGGGCCAGCCGACGTTGTTGTTGTTGTTGATGTGGCCATTATCGTGGTCAGAAAGCAAAAGCAGGTGAAACCCTAACCCTACCTCTTGCTCTCATGCTACGCAGGTACGCGAGCACCCAAGTCGTTCCTCGTCATCCGAGGCTCTCAGCGCGTCTGGTGCCCTCGCCAGAGTCAGAGACGTGGCTGACGCGAAAAGTAAAAGACTCGAAAGCCTGGGCCGCCTTTTTCAACGCCGCCATCTTCGTTCTCGGCTACTCGAGCACAACTCAGACTGCGGCGGCTCGCAACTACCATCTGTACGCCCACGCCTGTGCACGCGCCCCAGAGCGTAACATCGATTTCTGGGTCAATGGTCCGTATTTCTCTCTTCAAACAACCCATTTCTTGTCTCACCCGTATAATATCAGAATGCCACCTCCCCCAACGTTCCAGTCCTACTTTCTCGTCGCCAACATCCACGTATGGCTCATTGCAGCCCGTCTCCGTGCCCTCCCCCACACCGCGCACGTGCAGACCCTCGTAGACCACTTTTTCATCGACATTGAGGACCGCATACGCATGATCCTCCGTCCCCCGCCCCAGCCCGTAGAGCCCTACACGCTCCTCACCACCTTCTATCCAGAGCCCCTCCCTGCGCCCAAGACAAACAAGGCCCCAGAAACGCTCGTCACGCGCCAGATGAAAGTATTCCGCGATCAATGGCAGGGCATGTGGGTCAGCCTCGACCACGGCCTCGTAGCAGGCGACGAACACCTTGCCGCCACGATCTGGCGCAACGTCCTCGGCGCGCGCGGTGCTCACGGTATCAACACCACACCCCCACCGCCGCAGACCCGTTTCCCGAAAAAAAGGGCGGCGCGTCCCTCGCTAGCCACGGCGCGCCGCCCTCGCCCATCCCCTTCTCGTCCTACCCCGCTTTCCCCGAGCTTTCCCTCGCTTTGACGCGCTATATCCGCCGCGAGCTTAAGCGTCTCGAAAATATCCCAGACTCGGTCTTTCTTAACGATGACGTCCCTACGATGTGTCGCGTCGTCGCACAGTGGGGCCCCATTCCGTACCCAGACCCCATGCGCGATGGTACAAGGCCGCAAACGGACGCGGAAAAGAGTCAGGCTCGCGATCTGCTCTTGCTCGACGAGGCCCTTCCGCCCAAGCCGGAGGATAAATACTCAAAAGTCGATATCGACAGTGATTTAAAGCTGTTTGGGGCGGAGGTTGGCAGCAAGAAGGAGCGCATTAAAAAGTAGTTTGTCGTTGGTAGTTTAGCTCAATTCAAGGATATTTTTCGCTTGTAGTGCTCGTATCAAAAATTGCTACCCGTTCCTTCTGGATGACCTTTATAGGCACTACCAGGGGTCGAACCTGGGTTATGGGAAAGCAACATTGGTGTTAAAACACTAAGACTTTATCAGAATCCCATGTGCTGCCACTACACTATAGCGCCGTGTCTCGCATTTTGACGGGATCGCTCTATCTGTTCTCAGTGTGTATATTAAGAACTAGTATTGCGCTTGCACTTAATAGTAGCAAAACATATCGTCGCTGCTCACTGCAGCTGCTCATACATGAGCTACGCGTTCTTCTTCAACGTACTCTATAACCAACCTCGATCCTGGCTGGGTTCGGTATATTCTCCCCGTCATGTATTCCTAGCGTCCTATATATAGACTCGCGCAGCAAGGTCTGTCTTCCGAGTAAGTAGTATAAAAGCTGCATCACCTTCCCTGTTTTTCTCGTCTATCCTTTCGATGTTGTTCATACTTGCCGTTGCTCTCGCAGCACTTGTCCCCTCCTCCGTCCTCGGAGACCAAATCGACAGTCCATGCGGATAAGTACATGTGAGCCTTGTGAGTGCCGTATCCCCAACCTCACCCTGAGGCTCAGCATCTATCCTACTTGGAAGTGCAAACCCTAAACACCGCCCCCTCGACGGACTTGTGGTCCATCCCGACCTGTGTGGCGGATGCTACTTGCGGTGATTTACGTTCAAGTTTCTTTCAACGGACTGACGAAACAAAAGTCAAACCTGATGACCTTGGCACAATAGCCATATCCGAGGCCATCTCGATTACAATGTCCGTTCTTCCCTCTCTTCCTTACCTACGTACATAGAACTACGCCTCCTAAGACGGCGGCTGCCCCATCACAGCGCAAAACTACCGTGTCGACTTTTCGGCCAGTTGAGCGCAAGGAGTGGCCTAGGTAAGCTGCGTGTCCTCCTCCTACTCATTGGGCCAAGCTCTGCAGAGGACGTCATATCGCAGTATTGACCCCATTAATGCGTGGACGAATAGTGGGGAGCCGATTCTGTATACAAATTTCGATGATTGGTTGCATTATGGTATCATACAGTAGGTGGTGGCGTAGAACGGACAAGGTGGTTTTGCACGTACAATTACATTCCAAGCGCACCGATAATAGTTGCCATTCAAGTTGAAGTCAAACGCGGTACATCTCCGCGGACAATGATGTTCGTGGTAACACGGTCCAAGAATCTCCCAACCAGTGAATACACTGTTGTACGTGGGACGGCATGGCGGACCTCTAAACTTGGCCACTACCTTCACGACGGATTTGTCCCATACAATCTTCCTACGCGCGTGCAAAGGTCTCATAGCAGCCTCTATTGGCTTGGAACCATGCCAATCCCTTCCCACTCACAATACGCACAGCAGAAGAACCCTAGAAAGTAAAGCCAGATTTGTCCGACATCTACAGTGCGTCGTGGCGCTTCCTCAAGTCCGTCGCCCGATGGGTTGAAATGCATTCGAGAACCATGATGTTCACTCGCATCTTTGTCGTATGTGCTCTTGGGCACGGTGTGGTGACGGAGCCCAAATCGCGCGTCGTAGGTCACTTTTTCAGGTTCCTTGTATATAAGGCAAGGCGGGCGCTGCCTGTGTACAACATCCTAAAGTCGGTTAGGGTGGTTTCCTTTATCTGGTATGGTCTAGTCTGAGTTGCTACACTGTCTAAATATATACAGACCTATACGCTCAGACCCAGGTTGAGACCAAGTTCGACGTTAACGGATTTGTAGATTAAAAACGCCGTGGAGAAGATTGGCGATGCGCTCGCGTGTCATCTCTACTTTTGCAGACCAGGTACTCCTCTGACAATGACGCGTATTGACTAGCGCTTTAATACATCCGCGTCTACGCTGTAGGCCAAGTCGCGCCTCGACCTCGAAGCGCACCACACGGGTTATGTACGACCTCTTCTACTTTGCTGCCTGCTCCACCGTCGTTTGGCAGAACATGTCCCTCACTGCCCAAGTGCGTCTGCTCATGCCAACAAATCTTTGGGCCCGCAAACAAAAGCAAGTTCTGTGTTCCGAGAACGCTATACCGATGTAGCCTCACCATCCCGAATCTGGGAAGCGCTTGTATTAAAGCTGCCATCCAGTGGTATTGGTACGTGTACAGTAATGTACGAGAGCTGTGTTGATTTTACCATGACTGCTCGAGATTCAACCATCAAACTTGGAGCATCTGTCTCACAAAGGAAAGATGAGTTCACTCCGGCGTGACACTTTATGTTAAGATTGTGAGTACTATTTTGTGTCATGGCAAAGGAACATCATTGCGAGTGAGTCTGCTCACTAGATGTGTTGCTTCCAGGCAGGACCCTTTGAGTGAGGTCGGACAAGTGATTTTTGCATGCACCCTGGATTGGTTGACCGCCCTGTAAGAGTCTCACTGGTAGAATAGTACTCACAATCTTAACATAGACGTTAAATGTACATACCTGATGAGTTCCGAGTCGCCGTCACATTTAGCCAGGAAGTTCGCAAAGTTCAGAATGAACTTATCATTCAAGAAGACAACAACAAGATTCTCCGAGTTTACTACAAACCATACTAAGCAGTCGTAAAATCAACACAGCTCTCGTACGTCTGGTCATTACTATACGCGTACCAGTACCACTGGATGGCGCACTCCCCAGCTTCACTACAAGCGCTTCCCAGATTCGGGATGGTGACGCTGAACGAGGCTACGGGGGCGCATCATCATCAGTATACAGACTCGGAACATAGAACTTACTTTCGTTCGCGGGCCACTGCGACGGGCCCAAAGATTCATTGGCGTACACGTCCCATGTGAGCAGACGCGCGAGGGGGACCTGGGCGGCGAGGTCGACGATTGACATGTTCTACGGTGTTCAAATGATTGGAAGAAGTAAAGTGAAATGAGGAGAAGGCCGTACAGCATAACCCGTGTGGTGCGCTTCGAGGTCGACTTTGAACGGCACGACTTGGCCTACAGAGTAGGCGCGGGTGTTGTCGGTGTTGTCCTCAAGCTAGAATGTACAGGCCACATACGAGTTGGTGCAGAAAGAAGAAATGGGATGAGTACCGTACCTGGTATCCTCTGCAAAAGTAGAGATGACACGCGACGGCGTCATATCCATCGCCAATCTTCTCTACCGCGTTTTCGATCTATAAAAGCATACGTCAGCGTGAACTTGGTCTCGACATGGGTCTGAGCGCACAGGTCCGTATATATCTAGTCATTAAGAAATCTGAGAGGCGTAGACCAAGACAAAGGAAGCCACTGACCCGACTTTAAGACGTTGTACACAGGCGTTCCGCAGGCAGCTTCATTCGCTGCGCCCGCCTACCGCCACATCGCTTATATGAGCAACCGACCTGAGGAACCTGAAACAGTGACCTACGACGCGCGGTTTGGGATCCGTCACCACGCCGTGTCCCAGGGCGCCACTTACTGCAAGAGCGAATACCACGAAGACGCGAGTGAGCATGGTCAAGTGTGGTTCAAGCGATACTGGATTTCGTCTGTTCTTATAACATTCGTCAAAGTACGACGGTCCGCTGTCAGCTTGAGACGGTCCGGGAGACGAAGACGAAGCGTAGATGTCGGACAATTCTCGCGTGGCGAGGCCAATCAGAATTTATTTTCTATGGTTCTTCTGCAGTGGTATGGAGGACACATGAAGGGAAGCCTGGTCATGCCAAAAGGTACTGCTGTGCTTCCTAGTGCGAGCACGAGACCCAAGATGCGCGCGCGTACACTGCTCAGAAGGAATTGCGAGGATGCATGAGATCATGATGAAGGGAGTGATCAAGTTTAGAGATCATGCCGACCTTGCCCGCTTTCTGTTGTACAAGTTCAACGTTCAACACTCTATCCTTCTCAAACTACCGGGAACAATACAAACTGGGAACATTACTAGCGGAGGGGGGAATGTAACGGGTTAACGTGCAATCTAACACAACATACATCAACCCCCAAATCCCACTCAAGCCGTCGTAAAATCGATACAACTCTCATACGTCTGGCTATTCTCCGTCGCATACCAAAACCACTGAATCGCACACTGACCCGGCTCTTTACACGCGTCCCCCAGGTCCGGGGGGATCGTCACACTGAACGAGGCTTCCAAAGCATCAATTCATCACATCAGATCAACCCAAACCAAACGCACTCTCATTCGCAGGCCACTTCGACGGCCCCAAAGACGAATCGGCGTACACGTCCCACGTGAGGAGGCGGCGAGCGGGACTTGCGCGGTGAGGTCTACGATGGAGACGTTCTACCAAAATGAGGATAGGAGGGAGGAAGGAAAGAAAGGAAGTAAAGCATATCCCGTGTGATGCGCGACGAGCTCGACCGTCATCGGCACGACGTCGCCGACTTTGTACACTCGCGTGTTGCTCACGTTGTCCTCGATCTGCATGTAGGGGATAGGAGGGAAGAGGTGAAGAAGAAGACGTTCGTACCTGATATCCCTTGCAGAAATAAGATGACACGCCTCGGCGTCGTACGTGCTCAAGTCGATTTTCTTCACCGCGTCTTCGATCTACACATACATACTCTTCAACACATCCCAAACTCAGGAATAGTACGTACCGGCCATATGGATCTACGCCACGAACACACAAATGAGGAACCGGCCTGGAGAGAAAAGAATCCTCACCCGTCTTCAAACTCTTAACACTGGGGTCCCACACTTTGCTTCCGTCCCAGCCCCAACCTATAAATAAATAATGAAAAACCTCATTGCATTGATCAGGATTAACACCGAGCGGCGGGAGAGGTGACTCGTCCGTGGCGAGCGCGTAGCCGATGGAGGCAGCGATGATTGAGATACGGGTGGAGAGCATTTCGATTTCCAAGACTCTTATTAAAATGTCCTTTATACTGTTGTTAGCGGTCCGTAGAAAGAGGACGGTCCGGGGACGGAAAATAAGAAAGCATAGTTGTCGGATTATTCTCGTGCCGCGGTTCAATTGGAGCATTAAGAGCTCGCGGAGATTATTTGGAAAGGTAACATGTTTCGTGGTTGAGCACACGAGGGGAGAGAAGACTGAATTGGAGTTAGTTAGTACTGGTCATACGATAGATCCCAAAACGCACTGACGATAACGAAAGGATCTATGATGCAGATAGTAGGAAGAGGGTGAAGGTCAGCGTATCAGAAATT